AAGAAGACAACAGAGCACAACGCAGTAAGCGCCAACTAAATCACACTTAATTATGAAGCTCAAGGAGAGGTGAACAGATCCACGTATCTGCGTAGTATCACAAAATACAAGATGAATCTGATGCACACATGAAAGCACGAATTCTCAAAGCAAGAGCTGCATTCGAATGACTGAAGAATATTTGCAACCTTAAGTAAATTCAAACCTATAAAAACATCAGAAACTTCAACATCGACGTTTAAACAGTTCTATTGTGTGAAGCTGAAATTTAAAGAGCTACCACAGTCATAATCAAAAAGTACAGGTGTAGTGGACGCTACTCACAAGGTTGTTTGCAAGTAGTGTGTAACGGAAGTTGGTGTTAAAGTTGCAACAGTTGTCTGACAAAGTAGTGAGTTTCTGTGCATCGAAAGCACGATGTTGGCAGGACACTTTGATGCCAGTTGCGAAGACAGTTCAGATTTTAGAACACACTAGAAGATACGAATGGACAACTGTAGACTATGTATTATGCATTATGTAAATACTTTTTAACCTCTCTCAATAAATAAATATTTCTCCTGCCCGTTGTTATGTTTTACGCAGGTGTCATAGACACCTTTCTATGTAAGACACTTCATATTTATTGGGAAAACACAATAAACAGTTAATAACCGCTGTATACCACAAATCCGATGTCAACTGAGAGCGATGGAAAGTAAAACCCATTGAGCTACCAACTGTCTTTAAATATTCATTTATGCATATACTAACATTAACTGGACTAGATATATGTAATAAGGAGTAGCACCTACTGAAAAGTTCAAAAGACAGATAGTTTAGAAAATGAGAAATAGACATGTTCAGCTTCTCACATGAATGAACGGGACAATGTGAAAAAAGTAAAATTCAGGCGCATGTATTTCTTTCTTGCTGTAACAACATTTTCGAATTTATAATAATTCTATTATTCACTGATATTCCTTTCTAAAAGTCTTCAGGTTGGCAGATGATCTAATAAAATCGTTTGTCAATTAACAGAAATCAGACAACCACTTTCTGAACATGACAGTGTAGCGTGGCGTCGAGTTGAGGTTAACTATGAACACCGCTACCAAGAAACACGTGCCAAATGAATCAGAAGGCGAGGGTTGGACGTAACCAAATAGATCCATAAAATCCCCGAGAAGCCGAATACCAGAAGGCAGTTAATGGACCAAGTCGAGGTGTATATTTGCTGGCGATCTCGTGGCATCGAAAGGATACCGAGATCGTGCCAGGATACAACCTTGGTTACAGAAGGTAACCGAATTCGCGCGAAGTTACAATCGAAGTGTGTGTAAAGAATGGAAGCAAAATAAAGCTGTCATTAGCACAGTCAAACAAAAGCACATTAAAACAAACACTGGTACAGTTGGTTATAATAATAATTGTTTCTATTAAACCAGTCGTGTTCTCGTGATAAATGTGAGTCACTACAGGAGCCCCCCGCTAGAAAGGGTTTACACTTTCGATAAATAGCGGTTTGAATCGTGGGACTGATCGGCTGACGAGCGATTGTAGGACGGAAGAATTGGCGAACAGGAAAGCGATCGTTGATCGTCGAGTTGCCAACGAAGGTCGTTTTCGGAGAACGGTACCAGGAGCGATGTGCTGTATTTGTTGCTTGAGTTGGCATGCTACACGAGAGTGGTTTGTATCCAGAATCTGAAGAGGGCGTTCGTAGGGTGCGGACCAGAAACGCTGCAGACGAAGGACGAAACCACGTTGAGCCAAAAGACCAGAAGCGACCATTTTTTTTTTGTTCGAGACCAAGCGTATGCCAAGCATTCGAAACCAAATATCGACTGAGTGCGTTGACAAGAGCGTGGGTGGCCAATCCAGCTTTCGCCAAAGTTGACTGAAGTCGACGGAACCAAACGGAGATGGTCGAAGGCGTGGGCTCAGGAAACAAAAAGAAAATCAAAAAAGAGAAGAGTGTAGCATGCGTGTAGTATAGGAATAATCCTACACCGTATCGTTTGTTAACTGTGCGGCTAGTCGCGGAAGCGTACGGGTAACCGTACTCGGCGACCGGAACGTGAGACGGTAGTCTCGTTCGCGTCGCGTGAGCCTGCAATCTCATCCGAAGTCAAGGGCGGCGTGGTCTGCTGATCTGGACGTGAGACTGTCGTCTCATCCGTAGACGGTGCAGATGACGCGTGCTGTTGACTGGGACGTGAGAATGAGGTCTCAGATGTATCTAGCGTGGGACCTGAAGATGGTTTGAGGATCCCGCTAGTAGGTTTGCTAGGTCTAGCATTGAATCTCAGGTTATCAGATAGGGCACTGTCATCGACGTGTGCTGGTTTGAGACGATCAATGCTGACGATCTCGACGCGTCCATATCGATCAACCTTGAAGGTCTTTTCGTGACGAGCGATCACGTGAAAAGGGCCTTCGTAAGGTTGTTGCCAAGATTTGCGTACCGAATCTACTCGTATGAAAACATGTGAACAGGTAGATAACTCTCGAGGGAGAGCGACCTGTCGATGTTGTATTCGAGTTGACACCGGAGACAGCGTTCGCATAAATGCAGACAGTCGATGGACGTAGTCTGATTTACCGAAATTAGGTCTGCTCCGTGGTGTGAAGAATTCTCCGGGCAGACGCAATGTCGTGCCGAATACCAGTTCAGCGGCGGAACATTGTATATCTGCCTTCAAGCTCGTTGTGATCCCTAAAAGAACGAGCGGTAAGGTTTCGTGCCAGTTGCCGTTTTCGTGTGCTCGTATAGCACTTTTAAGTTGGCAGTGAAACCGTTTACTTAACCATTTGGTGCTGGGTGGTAGACAGATATGCTTATGCGTATGCATTCCGTACCAAGCAGCCGGGTCAGCGAGGAGAATAGTTAATAGGGGAAACTTTCTCGAATAAAGCGTGGAATTCATCGTCACGCGAATAAAAAGTAACAAGGATTCGGTACACATACATGTGAGTCTATTATATTAATACTATTCTTATCGTTATCCGTCATGTCGAGTATATTATATATTAAAAAATATGAAAATATACGACAGACGTGGATAGATAAATCATAGACTCACCGAATTGGCTTCTTTGGAAGATTTGATCAGAAGTTGAGGCGTGTTCCAAAATACGGGTCACCAATTGTAGCGTGGCGTCGAGTTGATTAACTATGAACACCGCTACCAAGAAACACGTGCCAAATAATCAGAAGGCGAGGGTTGGACGTAACCAAATAGATCCATAAAATCCCGAGAAGCCGAATATCAGAAGGCAGTTAATGGACCAAGTCGAGGTGTATATTTGCTGGCGATCTCGTGGCATCGAAAGGATACCGAGATCGTGCCAGGATACAACCTTGGTTACAGAAGGTAACCGAATTCGCGCGAAGTTACAATCGAAGTGTAAGTAAAAGAATGGAAGCAAAATAAAGCTGTCATTAGCACAGTCAAACAAAAGCACATTAAAACAAGCACTGGTACAGTTGGTTATAAGAATAATTGTTTCTATTAAACCAGTCGTGTTCTCGTGATAAATGTGAGTCACTACAACAGTAATGACGTTTTACATTGACTAATTAAGAGAAATATCTTAGGTGTCAATAAATTGGCTTATATGTATGGTATATTTTGAGCGGAAACTAGTTAACCGTACTGGTAGCAATAAATCAATAAACCATATAAACTATATAAAAACATATATGTACATGCATTAATTAACTGCTTGGTTTAAATCAAATGATGAAATTTCGCGACACATTATATTGTGAATTTGAACAGTCTGACGAATTACGATAATCGCAAATAGGTCATAATTTCAACAAGACGTAATAATGAAACCGGACTGGAAGTAGAATGAATGAAATTGCATTGTATTATTATAACCAATCAAAACATGACATAAGATATCCAATTTTACAGTAGCTGTATTAATTATTCACCTCACAATATTCTTTTCAGTTGTGATTAATTTTCAGCACTTACAGGTAATTGATTAGATAGTTTGACTTAATGAAACACATTGTTTTATAGGGGGCGAAGGTGATCTGAAACTACATTAAGATTTGTATTTCAAGTAGGCTAATCTAATCAACCATAGTGAGCTTTAAGTTATCTGGATAGTCATTTGGCTGGGAAGATTTATATCTAACTCTTGAAGATATAACTATTGTGAATTGCTCAAATGTCACCAAAACCAAACTGAGTAAATATCTACTTGAATATTTGTAAAATTTTGACTAATATCTATGTAATGAGTGTACATTTGTTGCCAAACTATTAATCTCATCGCCACTCTGCAGTTAACTTGAAGAGTGTAGTTGCTCAAATTTGTAGTAGTGTATTGAGCTATACTATTCAATGGTTCTGCATCACAGTCCACCTTAAACTGGTGAGTAGACTATACTGCTTATCTAGTTTGTTCAAAAATTAGGTTCCACTAGGTGAATGTTTTATTTGGAAGAACAGATGGAAAGGATGCAATGTAGACTGGCTATAATGAAGCTGCCAAATGAGCCAAAATCTACTAAATCATCTATTCACTAATCAGAGTTAGCCTCTGTTGACATTGGTGAATTTCAATAAACAACTTAACGTCCAGTAACCAGTCATCCAATATTGGAATACGCTCAGTTTGACAAACAGATTTATCTAGAATTCAGTGTTGTTACACTGGCCGTACACATTGCAAAATCCAATAAATTTATGGTGAACTAGTATCAGTCAACTTGTTTGCTTTAATAAATGCAAGCAAATTCTAAATTGCTCCGTCTGAAAAGATTGTTTGCATCTCTTTGTTATTTACAGCAGTAAAATATGGTCATTATTTTGTCGGTCATCTTAGTCAACAGGACAATCTGGAGCGTCTAGTCGAACGTTTTTCATCTCAGACATATATATACGATTTTCCTTTTCACTATGACATATATATATATATATATATATATATATATATATATATATATATATATGGGGTTGTGTTGTGTGTTTGTGTATAATGCGAAGGCATTTTGTGACCGTCAATGACCGAAATCAAGCCTGTAAATCATAATCATGTGCATAAATTAGTTTACGTGTAAACTAAACAATATATATAAAATAGTGTTGTGGTTTTGAAACCGAATATATCATTATGACACTTACGAGAAGAATCGGGTTATTTTGGAATGGTATTTTTATCATTATCGTAGTATGTAAGTATATTCATTTGTAAACTGTAATCCATTATTGATACTGTTATTATACGGTTCATTTTTGAATTCAGCAAAGGTGAGTAAATTTTATTGTTCCACAAAATGTTCAGGACATTAACTTTAACTGTAATTAATAACATACTTATTTTAACAAAAACCTATCGCCATCTAGCTTAAAAATTGCCTTAAATGTATCATAAAATAGTTCACCTAAAATTTTACAGATTTGGACTTGAGTACTTTTTACAGTTATTCAGTATACAGCGTACGCGTTCGCAAAATTCTACGGGTTATGTAGTCAGAACGTTTCTTCAGTTATTTGATCTGTAATTACAGATTGAACAAAATCAAATCTCACAGTTGATTAATATACTAAGAGGTTGGTTAAGTCTGAAGTATTCTACTTCTTTTTGGAGTGCTGATATCTGTATTTGGATATCGGATGTTAACAGATTTCAATAGGTATCATAGTTCTACGTAAACTTCCACTATAAAGGATGCTTGAAAGTTTAAATAATCAAGAACATAATGTACAAGTTAATCAGATATGATAATTAGAAGTATGTAAATTAATTTGCTAAGAATTCCCGAAATAGTGCAATTTAAGACAGTTAGAACTAGATAAGCTGAAATGTACATATTATATTTGTAATTTGTAATCAGCGGGCAATCAAGTACAGAGGAATCGTTATTTCCTACAAATACCACATCAGACTAACTTGATACAAAACTGACTAAAATAGTAGGTGAAACGACCAGTATTATTCGAATCTTAAAGAAATGTACGATAATAACGAAATAAGAAAAGGAGTCTTTTGAAGGTGGAGTGTGTAAATCTACCTCTGGGGTGTTGGTTATGATAACTGGAGTTCGTTCATATATATTAGGTAATAAGTGATGAGCTTACATTCTGATCAGTAATACATATCAAGGTAGATGATACATCGGGTTTAGTTTTAGCACATTACAAACTGTATGTTCAGTACCTTTATAGGTAGAAATTCTTCAGTTACTGGATTCAAATTTCATTTTTCAAATAAGAATAATTAGTTTGTAACCAAAACATTTCAATAATTGTTCTTAAACTAAAGTACCGTAGATTGAAAGTCTCTTAAAATCTGATCTGGTCACTGAAATGTGAATGATTGCTTTCTAAATACTCCAAAAAGAACTACGTTATCTTATACAATTAATCGGTCAAACCATTTGTTCCCAAATCTTTAATGAAGAAATTAATGGCTCCGGATTATAGTATCACTCTTCAACTTATAATAAATAATGAAGATATGACAATTTGTTTCAACTTCATTTGACCTGGGATCAATGGTAATACATTATTGTGATACGTATATAAAATATTGTTATGACTTTAAGCCCGGTTAATTATCACATGACTTATTCACCAATCGGAACAGGACTTATACAATCTTAGCACTGCGCCAAACCAACGACCGGTATTATTGGTCTGTTTTCCTCCTAGCCTTGCCAGTTTAGTCCAGGACACCAATAACAGCTTCCACTATACGAATCATTTATTTCAACCATACCTGGTTTATATACAAGCCAGATAGACCACATCACACCATAAAATAGGAAATAACATTCGTATAAGATCAAGCTCGCAAGTGGCCGTGGTCATTTGAGATGGTAATTAGTAAACTGAACATAACCTAAGAACAGAAAATCGTATAATAATAGTCTATAAGTCAAAACAAAGCTTATAATAAGAGGAATATAAATATGAATAATTTAGTTACTCAATAGTTATACAATAAGAACATATGTATAATATTAATCCACTAATAACTCTCATAAGTTACCCATAATTTAATCTTCGCTAGGATATAACATGTATATACATATACCATGAAATCCCAATAAGTATAAAATTGTATTTCTGACATTTCGTAACTTAATGTCATTGTTTTCTTTGTACGATTGAAATTCGTGTCGATTTGATTCGATTAGTTATTTACTCTGGAAAAATGGCTTACATTAAGTTACGAAAGGTCACAAATACAATTTTTCTTTTCCCTATGACATATATATATATATATATATATATATATATATATATATATATATATTAGCTTAATACAAAGTTGAGTAAAGCACTATTATCAGAGGATGATAGTTCATTCGAAATTAGTAAATAGTTAATAGAAATTCATTGTATCATTATAATAATGTTACGGAATTTTAATGAATGTTATAAACTTGCATGGAGATTAATTGATCAAGTTAGATTTTTCAATATTTATTCATATTTTAGTAGTTGAGATCATGAGTCAGTTGAAGCTAGACCACCATGGAAAACCTGGCCGTTTCATGATCTCAATTATCGAAATTACTATAATATCCACAAAACCTCTTCTGATACTAATCAAAATATCCTCACAAATGACGGTCTCCAAGAGGTATTTCTTGGAATTCTAGTGAGAAGCAGTGACCAGTGGAGTTCAACTGGGTCAGTTATGAGATAGTAACTCACTGATGACAGTGGTGGATGTGTCGCTTAATTTCATGGATTATTTGAAGTTAAACATTAACACTGTTAGATGCTGGCCGGCTCAGTGGCCTAGTAGTTAAGCGCTCGCGGTCGAGACTAATAGGTCCTGGGTTCGAATCCCGCGAGGCGGGATCGTGGATGCGTACTGCTGAGGAGCCTCACAGTGGGACGAAGCGACCATCCATTACTTTCAAGTTTTCCATGGTGGTCTAGCTTTAATTAGCTCATGATTTCAACTGTTAAAATATCCACAAAACCCCTTCTGATATTTATTTATATAACAGATTCACGAAATATCAGTATTTAGTTTCTTAGTAAAAGTTTATTGATAATAACCTTGATTACGTAATACACTTATGGTATAATATATGGGATATCCTATATATAAATAGGTGATCTATTATGATCTTTTATCAATTTGAAATATGTCATTGATATCATTTGTCATTTATATAATCAAATGAAATCAAATGATCTAAATTACATTGTTTATAGATTTAGGATAATATTGTCTAATAACATGTAAATATAAACCAATATAAATAACAATGTTTAATTTTAATTAGTTCATCCAAATACCACTGACTGCCAATTCATTAAAATGTATAGTATCCTATTACATTTTTCAATCCATAAAAAGTTTTCTTATAGTTAGTTCATATGATTGTAAATAAGTAATTAGTAGTATTCTTAATTATAGAACAGAAGGCTCAGTTCTACTTTAAAAGTTTAGTCTACAAATACTTGATTTCATATAATCTGTTTTACTTAGTATATTTTAATATTTGAAATCACTTTAAATAAAAAGCCGATAGCATTCGATCTGCGCTAAGAAGAACCTAACACACATGATATTGATCACCATTCAGTGATAAATCAATTGTGAATACATCTCAGTTCTACAGGAGGTCAGTCGCGGCCCGGATAGCCCGATGGTAACCTCTCTGACTGTGAAGCTGGGTGGCACTGAATCAAATCCGTCAGTAAACACCAGTTCCTTCAAGATTACAGGTACACCTTGATGATGAGTGCCAAATAGCATGAAACCCGAGTTCAGGGTTTCCTATTGATTATCTCCAACCACCATCTTATTTCAACACAGGACACACAATGTCGAGTCACTTAGACTAGTGGCCACATTTCAACTTGGTCGATAGCATTCGATCTGCACTAAGAAGGACCTGATACATATGACATTGATCACCACTCAGTGATCAATCAATTGTGAATAAAAGACGAAAACAATATAATGGTAACCAGTTGATGGCAGATGTGATATGTTAAGTTCCTTTTCCAAGCTCATATCTTATTCTTTATTCTATCGACGGTTAATTTGTATACACACAAATATCAAATAGGAAAAGTGAATTTAAATAAAGGAAGCTTAGTGCTATATTATGTTGAAGCCAATGCTTAGTTCAATGATCGTTCTTTGTGAAGAAATTAAGTTGGTCAACTAAAGTTTCCTGTAAATATCGACTTTTTCTCCTGAAGCATAAGTGTAGTCGTATAACAACAATAAACTTTTATAGTAAAACTGTTTAACTTCTTTTCTTTTTCATTCTAACTATTCACTTTCATTCAACAGTTATGAAATAAATCAGAGTAACTAAGCATGAACAGATCGGTATATTATAGTGTACTTGGTTTATAATCGAAATTTACTTCAGAAAATTTCTACTCAAACTTAACACAATCGCTAAACGTAATATCAGATATCCGAAATCAGTAGAATTGTACATTATCTGAATAAAATGAGTAGAGAAACATTCATATTTAAATTGTACAATGACTGATCTAATTATGTATACAAAAATTTAGATACAATGATAGTATAACTATCATTCTAGCTATACTGTAGCATTAAGTTCCATAAAACTGTTCACTGATTTTCGTTATTATTATGATGCAGATTGAATGATCATTATTTATACTTCACTAATTGAATTACACTATATGAAGTAATCAGATTAGTTTAATGTAAAGACAAGTTTATACACTTTACAATGTATGCCTTCATTCATTGAGTAATCTATTCTTAGAGATGTAAGGTTTACAACTAATTCACGAAAAGAAACTTGATCCTTTAACCACTGACAATCACATTTATTTTCTTTTATACGTTATTTTTCAATCAAAGAGTTAAGTAAGCAGTTTATGATTGTAAAGATGACAACTAAATCTGTTTCAACAAAAAAACAAACAAACAAACAAACTGAAAGTACAAGCTGAATAAAAGATTACTTTCGGTCATTTCTTATATGTAAAATTGTTAAATTCATAATTGAATTAGTTTATTCTCAATAATTAATATGTTGACCATTAAATTATCTCGGTGTTATCATATTGTGATAAGTTAATAATGCTGACATCAAAAAGTGTTATTATTATTGTGTTTTTATTCATTTGTCTAAGTGAACTAATGTGTGACCACATATTTTTACAATACATGAATTTGTCCAACGTAAACATGTCTAAATTCACTTGATATTGTTTACTTGAATCTTCTCATTAATGTTTAGAACTTGAAATTGATCAGTATCTTATTAGCATACGTTTATACTGTGCATATTGCTTTGATATTATCTTAATTCACAAGTGTTCTAAACAAAGATGTGTAGTAGTAAGCCGTAGGATCCAGGACGCGCGTTTCTTCCTATTTATGACTCATCAGCTGGATGTACCTGTACCTCATAGTTGATGTTCATTCCGAGACTTGAACCCAGTACCGTACACTTCAAAAATTATAGCGTTATCGACTTAACTATTGAGTATTGATGGCCACTTCCTTGTGCAATGGGGTAAAGTTTAAATTCACTTGATATTGTTTTACTTGTATCTTTTTATTGTTACTTAGGACTGAAATTGATTAATCTTTTATTAACATACGTGTATATTGTGCGTTTTGCCTTGATATTACCTCAGTTCATAAGCATTCTGAACAAAGATAAATAATGGTTATTTCACTGATTGAAATCATGAGTCAATTGAAGTTAGACCACCATGGAAAACCTGGAAACACTTGACCGCTGTCTCGTCCTAGTATGGGACTCCTCAGCAGTGCACATCCACGATCCCGCGACCCGCGAGATCCAAACCCAGGACCTATCAGTCTCGCGCCAGGTGCTTAACCAACTAGACCACTGAGCCGGCGTCCAACGGTGTTTTCAATCAGTGAGATTTCTAAAATCTCTACAAAACCCCTTCTGATAATAATCGTTATTGTCTACATAATTTAAAAATCTTTTTAGCATAGAACAGAGAAAAACAGATAAATTATTCAATTTAAATATTGTTTAATGTAAATGAAGTTTACAATTTCCATTTAATTAATTTCATATTCAACTATATAATCAATTTGGTAATCTTGTAAAGTTATTTAAAAGTAGTATATTACTCCATATTTAATAAAATTTATTCATAAATCTGTGTAAATTTCCTAAATTTTCACAAGATTAAATTATTTATTCAATTTTAAATTGAAAACTTAATTTATATCAGATTATGAGAGGTTGGAGAAGATTTACAGTTGATTTTATTGAAGTTTTGTTCTTTGAACTAGATGGAAGGACTTGTACTTGAAGTTTGTCATTCAGAAGAACGATAAAAGCTTCAAACCATTCAGCTCATCGAACAAAAATCCATTTAACATTATATTGTTTCATAATTAAGTGATTTTGTTTCATTTACAGTTTACTAAAACAATTACTAAGTTATGTAAACTTATTTGGGTTTAATAAATTCATGAAATATAGAGAATAAACAGTACGCTTTAGTTCATTTATGTAAGTGCTCAGAAAATATGCTTATAGCTGTCTTTTTATGACAGATTTGAGTTAACATGATAATATCTGCTGTATCCTAAGACTGTTGACCAAAGTCACATGATAAAGTCACGAAAATAAACTCTAATTCTGATGTTCTATATTTCTTGTCTACTATTTTTATTATAACATAATACCTACGACATGGCCAATTATACACCTGACTAGCATTGTTGACCATGAGCAGATGTTGTTATGTTCTGAGTGGTTCCTTATCTACAATCCCTTCTCTATTCCCTGTCTTGAGTCTAAATAATCAAGAGCAAACATCACCTCTATTATGTTTCAAACATTTGGATTAATGTGTTAACATACTGAACCGCTTCAAACCAAAAAATGAAAAAAACAACAATTACATATAAACGAGTCTAAAGTGGCTCAGAATAGCACAAGTTGTAATTGCTGGACTGACAACACATTAAGGATAGTAAATCCTATAGCAATAGGTAAATGGTTTAAAGATGGCTCATGATAAATAGAACATATATATACATAGTAATCTACCTACTTAATGATTATGTTATGAAAAAATATAAAGTAATAATCTTTACGATAGTTCTAGGAGTCACCATTTCTTCAATCTCCGTTCCGATACATGAATGTTGAAATTGCCTCATAGTAGAAGTATTATTAATTCAAAACGAACTGAATCATTGAATCTAACTCAAAAAATATTGTCTAAAACAATGGAAACGAAAAAGTTGATACTTGAGAAGTCGAGGAAGATTTAAAATGTTAGAATTAAGTAGGATTAATTACAAACATTAATATTATGTTTTTCCGATACTCTCTACCACCTGTTGAGTTTTAGCTCGACTAAATCACTCAAAATTCCTTGCTTATCAACAAAACTTAAACCTTCTGTCTACAATTAGACTGAATAATCTTACACAATAAGTTAACGAAATATTTGTGATAGCCTAATGAATATAAATGAGAATTTCTGACGTTTCGCAACTAAGTTTAGGCTGCTTCATCAGAGGGCAGATATGTCAAAAAATAACCGAACATAAATTTATTTAGTTTCTAAGAATGTAGCTTGAATCAAGTTGAAAAAACGTCGAAATCCCTGATTTCTATTAATTGGAATATAAAAAATATATCATTATTTGATTAATATCATTCATTTGAAATCATCAAGTCAAACCCTGGTAATACTGTAGTGAACAAGAACACTAGTAGGGACAATCGAATGTATTTAACACAAAATTACAGGACTTGTTAATAAAATCTAACAATCATAAAGTAAATGATTAATTTGCAAAATGTCCATCAATTGTCTCAAGATGACTCAGACTTCATTGTTGTTGCATTTTTATACAAATTGCATTCTGTTTCGACTCTTTACTGTTCGATCCTCTTGTCTCTCTGCTGTCAGACCTTCTGTTCACGACTAACATCATCTACTACTTATGCCAATATAAGTAGCACACACCACAATACTACACACTGAATAATTCCACTTACTTATTTGTTCTAACACAACGTTCAAGAAGTCTGAGTGAAGAGAGGAGATTCACAGACCTCACGTGGATGAATTCAACAGATATCTTTAATTGAGTTTACATGACTGAACGTAAAAATAAAACTGATGTTTGGCCGAGAATGATAATGATTGGTTGTCTGCTTAGTCAGATATGTGGATAGTCTGACAGGTGTCAGATGAGTTATATATTCCCTTATCCTTATTATTATTATTATTATTATTATTACTCACTTATTATTGATTGTTTATTGTTGTTGGATTGCGTCGGGTTTTGGCGTGGATATATATTTACGTTGTGGTCAGGCTAATCACGTGTTCTTGATCTCAGTTGTGTTGAAGTTTTGTAGAATAGACACTGGGAGGGAATCTAATGTAGATATTCGTCTAAGGCAAATTAACGTCCTATACGTGCAAACGTTGAAAACTAACCGTTATAACATTAGACAAAGTAAAACCGAGCGTTATAACAATCGGCGACAGGGTAAAAAACAAAGAACCAAAGGTACAAAACCACAAGTTACAACAAAAACTTTTGACAGTCTGAGGCTGATTAAATGGAATTCAGAAAAGGTTTCGAAATCTAACTTAGCATCAGTCTATGTCAAGTTAAATAAATACAGTAGGATAATTTTATTAACTTGCTTATATCCTTTTACTTAGAAATGAGATCTTTACCTCTATAGTCTTTATATAGTTGTCTTACTATTCGATAGGGTTTGTAATGAACACTCAGGGAAACTGATTCGGAAACAAGCAATTTGTTAAATAGCCCAGTTTGTTATAATACTCAATCATCTCCAATACTGTTACTAATATCTGTTAATATCATGACAAAATTGAGCTTCATCGAACAATATTACTTATTAAAACTTGCACAGCTCTTTTAAAAACGAATCACTGGTACTTCAATGCAAATTTTGTTGTATGGTTTTCACTTTCACTGTCAGTTCAAGATCGTTATGAACATCCAATCATACAATCACCATCAGCTATAGCTTTTTCATAAAAATCTCTATTTCTATTTGTGATAATAAGTAATTTAGTGTATAAAAATGTTTTTTTCTTTTCTTTCCAGTTATATGTACTTCAAGTGAATTTTGGAGAGAAAATAATTCACCTTGTAAAAATCTTGGGACATTTTGTCGTAAATTACCATTTGGTCAAAGATGCTGTGATACAACAGTATGTGATTTGAAAGCACCCTTTTCTGGCACATGTGTAAGATGTTTAGATAAAGGCAGATTTTGTTTACGAAGTCGTGAATGTTGCGATAATTATTGCTTTTTCTTTAGATGTCGTTGATTGTAATAAAGAAATAACTTGTAATTTGATAAACATACCAAGGTGTTCACGTAAATACATATACATTTTACCATTGTTCGTTTTGTTCACTTAATGCATATTATCACTGTGGATAAATGAAGAAATAACAGCCTTGTAAACTGGTTTACAAAATATTTGGGCGCCTATTCACTATGAAATCCGTAGACAGATTTCAACACAAAGACTTAATAACAATTGAAATCCTTGAAAATATGAAATAAGATAAGACTACTGTAATATCATAGAAAGTAAAAAACACTCTATGATGATTCATAAACACTGGATTATAGCTTTTTAATCTTGTTAAGATGCACATTCCAGAAATAACTGGTCAAAATAACATTGAACTACGTATTATTATAGCTGGTGAAACGAGAGTATCAGTACTTAACAATACTTCGACAAAAATTCAACATGAGACAAGTTTCAAAGAGTAGGGCGCGCAAAAGGGCTGGCCAAATTGAGGAATTAATGTTATTGCAATTCTTAAAATAAACCGAAATATCGAAATGCAAATTTAAATGAATGTGTTGTGAGATGTGATAATAAAAAAACATAACATTAAATTGAATAAACTAAACTACTTGTGTGTATTAAGTAGTAAAAAACAGAAGGAAAAAGAATGAAGTTGTTTGATAATCAACAAAAATTGAAGTCACATTTAATAGATTGTGATAACAAAGTGCAGATTATTAGTGAAACTAAACAATACGGAGCAGACAATGAGTGGGTTGGATCAAGTTGAATTAGAATTTAGTCAAATTAGTTTATACAACATAAATATGTGGGCGGTGAAGCTAACATTAGTGCAATGTTAAATCTGTATTGATTTATGTAGGTATATAACTGAGAAATGAAATGATAGATAGATGGTCAAAATACAACATCAACGAGTTGAACAAATGCTATTTATTTAGTAGTGAGAAAAACACCAAATGATTTAACAAAATGTATGGAAAAAAAGTATACAGACATCATGTATTTCAATTTAGTTAACCGATGCAGTAAAATGCCATATATATATATATATATATATATATATATATATATATATATATATATATATATATATATATATATATATATATATATATGCGTCATACTTCGTCATTCGATTTGTTTAAAGGTTGGGATAGTTTCTGGTTATCTGAAATGAAGCAGGTGGTTTCCTTAGGGGGACACTCCTCGATCCTTCGATCTGAAGGTCTAATCCAAAAGGCAGTGGAGCAACATCAGCAGACACAGTCTCATAGTAATCGGTGACTAACAGTAGATTCATACGCCATTTGTTCCTTCAGGATACTGAAGCTCATGTGCACCATTGGTTTGGAATCAGGATTTACCGACTCCCCTAGGTAGATTCTCTATATCCACCAAACCCGGTAAAGCACCGGACATTCACTTTTCGTCTTCTCAATTTCGTAAAGAACACCCTTGCCACGAGAAGGCAGTGAGTAGAACTTCCCTGGTAGTGGTTGTACGCAAGTGGCCATGTGAGAGTATTTCGAGAGGGAAATCTGACTCTCCTCACCCTCAACCGTACCAGGACATCTGGGTGCCTACTATTTGATAAATAAATTGAAATGGTTAGATCAGCGACCTTTAAAAAGAAAATTCTGTCTGTCTAACTGAAAAAGTGTTGTTTTTGATTCTTGAATGGCTAAGCGTTTGGTAGTTTTTGAAATATTCGTTGGAGCGTAATAAATAATGAACGACAATTTCTTAGTGCCTTACTCATTATCTATTCTAAATAGACAAGCTAACATAAAACTTTTCAAGGTTTTCTCTGTAGATTTTTTTCTACCGACTGGAGATTATTTAGAGCTAAAAAGAAATAACTCCCTAGAATAACTGCCAGTCTATCAGCCTCTTGTTGGTGTTCTTGAAAGAAGAACAGTTAACTGAATTTTTTAAAACCAAATTGTAGACAATGTGTTTCCTACAGTTAAGACCAGATGGCCAAACAGTATATTTAATAAATTGAGATCCTAAAGTTAAATTTTTGCAGCCAAAACAGAAATCAGAAATTATACTCAGGATTTCAGTCTACTGTTACGTGATATTCATGTATAACATTGAACTGCTGTCAGGCTTTAAATAAGCTGAAGAAAGTTTATAATTTTCAAAATATTATTTTGAACATATTTAAGTTGAGAAATTATTTCGACCAACAGATGATGCAGTAGAAAGTATGATATGGTACTCAGAAAGTGCAATTAGTATATTTGTACTAGATATCTTAATTTACTTATTGTAATCAATTTTAAAGACAAGAAATTGTCTCAATCAAAATTAGTTTGAAATAATTAATTTTTATCAAAATCAGGATTTGTGGAGATTGTAGTAATTTGAATAGTTGAATTCATGATTTGATCTAAGCTAGACCATCAATGAAGACTCGGAAGCACTGAACGGACTCCTCAGTGGTCTAGATGTTAAGGATCTGGGTTCCGCGTCTCGCTTGCCGGATCGTGGATGAGCAAGTCTGGGTCGTCCCATACTAGAACGAAACGGCCATCCAGTGCATCCAGGTTTTCAATGGTCGTCTAGCTTAGATCGTCTCATGAATTTAACTGTTTAAATTAATGTTTGGAATGTTATACAAATATAAATGAAAAATAACTTCTGTTCATATTAGAATAAAAGTTAGTTTGTCACACTGAAGTATTTAGATTATCATCAGTAAGCTACCTTATTCTTAATATGTAGATTAATCAGAAGTATAAGTATTTTTCTTCTTTAATAATAAAATTAACTTTCAATAAATTTTACTCCAAAATAATAAAGAATTCAGATTTATAATAATAATAGGTAACATTTCAGGCGAGACTATAACTTATGAACGAACCAATCAGGTAAAAGATAACAGGTCTCGGATTTTGGCGCGAAATTCACTCATCCATTTGGCTAAATAAAGTTCTAGCATTATAGCTGATGTCAGTTCGTGATGAAAATCTTAAATCTAATTCCTAACCTTAACCATCAACTGTAAATCATAATTTTCATATCTCACACTGGTTTATAATCCTCATTTGGTCCTGATTATTAGGTGGACACTCTTAGGGTCACTCCAGTGTCTCTGAAATGTCATCCATAAATTATAGTCTCACTACATTTCATATATCTGACTTTGAGGAATTTTTCGACAAATAGCTTAATTTCATGTGAGTAAAATCCTGAAAATAATATAATTTGATTTTCAATAGTTGAGATCATGAGTCAATTGAAGCTAGACCACCATGGAAAACCTGGATGCACTGGATGGCCGTTTCGTTCTAGTATGGGACGACCCAGACTTGCTCATCCACGATCCGGCAAGCGAGACGCGGAACCCAGATCCTTAACATCTAGACCACTGAGGAGTCCGTTCAGTGCTTCCGAGTCTTCATTGATGGTCTAGCTTAGATCAAATCATGAATTCAACTATTCAAATTACTACAATCTCCACAAATCCTGATTTTGATAAAAATTAATTATTTCAAACTAATTTTGATTGAGACAATTTCTTGTCTTTAAAATTGATTACAATAAGTAAATCAAGATATCTAGTACAAACATGGGGGGGCTCCTCAGCACTACGCATCCACGATCCCGCACCCCGCGAGATTTGAACCCACGACCTACTGGTCTCGCGCGCAAGCACTTAACTGCTAGACCAGTGAGGCGGCATCCAACGGTGTTAATGTCTAACTTCAACTAATCCATGAAATTGGGCGACACACCCACCATTGTCATCAGTGAGTTACTATCTCATAACTGACCCGGTTGAACTCCACTGGTCACTGCTTTTCACTAGAACTCCAGGATATACATTGACTCATGATCTCATCTATTGAAATTACTAAAATTGCCACAAAACCACTTCTTATACTAATTTAATTTTGTTCAGATTAATAAATCGGCTTAGAAACAACATATCGTTTGTATGATATCCATATTTTCACAAAGCTTAATGTGAATATTTATAGATCATTATCTTTATATAAAGTATATGTTATTTGAACTTTTAGGAGTGTATGATGTTAACAGTGGTTTTTTTAAAAAAAATTTTACCTTCAGTAGCTGAATTAACAATCACTGATTTACTTTAACACACTCAACTACTTTTCAGTCCTTGCTCATTTTTACAATTTTTTAAAATCTAATTAATCTAAAATATTACAATTTTTCAACTAGAACTAGAAAGGAAGGCCTAGGATAGAGTGGGTTGGACAATACTGGTCGGCAGCCTATGATCCATTGGGAGTAACAGGCGTAAGTAAGTAAGTAAGTAAGTAAGTAAGTAAGTAAGTAAGTAAGTAAGTAAGTAAGTAAGTAAGTAAGTAAGTAAGTAAGTAAGTAAGTAAGTAAGTAAGTAAGTAAGTAAGTAAGTAAGTAAGTAAGTAAGTAAGTAAGTAAGTAAGTAAGTAAGTAAGTAAGTAAGTAAGTAAGTAAGTAAGTAAGTAAGTAAGTAAGTAAGTAAGTAAGTAAGTAAGTAAGTAAGTAAGTAAGTAAGTAAGTAAGTAAGTAAGTAAGTAAGTAAGTAAGTAAGTAGGTAAGTAAGTAAGTAAGTAAGTAAGTAAGTAAGTAAGTAAGTAAGTAAGTAAGTAAGTAAGTAAGTAAGTAAGTAAGCAAGTATCACGATTTTCCAACATATAACCACAAAAAGTTCAATTTCGAGCTAACTACTCAAGTAAAAAATTTAAACGTGTTCATTCCAACATGTTAATACAAACTTTTTTTGTGTTATCAGATTTGAAAGTTCAAAGCTCACTACAGTATGATATTGTGGATAAAGATTATTGAGAACTCTTAAACTAATATAAGATAATTCAAAGTTTTTAATGATTCTCAAGTTAATGTCAATTAATGATTTAAACTAATTTCAAAATAGAAAAATGTACAGGAATTGTTATTGTTAATGTTTCAGTATTTTACTAAGGTGATTCACTTAATAGAGAAGGGGTTATCAATCTGTAAAGCTTTTGTTTTCATAATACAGTATATAATTTATAAAATACTAAATGATGTTGATGTTCGATACGAACACTATTGAATGCCGGCTCAGTGGTCCAGTAGGTTAAGCGTCCGCGCGAGACTGAAGGCCTTGGGTTCGAATCCCGAGAGTGGGACTATGGACTCGCACTGTTGAGGAGTCCCAAAATAGGACGAAACGACCATCCAGTGCTTCCACGTTTCCAACGGTGGTCTAACATCAATCGGTTCATGATCTCAATTATAAACAGAACATATTTGATTGTCACAATATAGATTTTTATATATGTCAACGTAATTTAAAACAAATATTTCATTTAACAGTATAAAAATATTGACAACTAAACGTTTTATCTAATTTCATATTAAATAGATTTGAACAAGTATATAAATTATTACGTAACTGTCTTTAAATTATTGATTATTCAATGGAGGGGAAAGAGGAATATAATATAAATTAATCAATTTCCATACTATGTGCAACAACTTCACGCCATATATCTTGTACTGTAAGTGGATAGAATTCATTGTAGAATGATACTAAAAATATAGAGTCTGCAAGTAAACCTTCATCTTTTGCAGGTTTCAAGTTAAAATAACTATGTCCATCTTCAAATCTCAATCTTGGTATACCTAGATTTCGTGCTAAAATTCCCGTTACATAAACGTCATCTATCCATATAGGTGGTTGGAACATTGAACACCAGTATAAGTAGGGAGCCAGTTTCATATCCATAACATATCCAAAGCCTTCACAATATGTTGGAAATATTTTTTCGGGATATTCTTTTTCACTTATTTGCCACTTGGAATGTTTTATACTGTTTGGTCGTACAACTTTAACATTACTTGTAGCAGTGCAGTAGAATAAACCTTTTAGGTTGTTATGTTTTAATTCTAAGTAGCGTGTCAAATGAAATATATCGACAAAAGTGTCATCATCAACTTTGACTAGAAATGGCACATTGTTGCAGTAACCTTTACTAATCCATTCCATAATCGTTATATGTTTCCTCGTCATATTATAGTAATCTTCCAGAAATGCACGTTGAACAATGTCACTATAATCAAAAGAAGAACAGATTTAATAAAGAGATGTACACCTGAATAAAGCTAAAGCATTAAGGAAAGAAGAGAAAGCAACCGATGATCGTATTGATGCCATGCTCATAATTTAGTCTTCATCAATATGCGATATCTACGGATTTAGAAAATTGACCGAAAACTGTGAAATAATCATTATTTCATCCAGGTCACTGTTGGTCTTTAGAAAATAAAATAAATGTTATACATCTCATTTATTTATTATTGACATTCAAAGACACTTTTGACGTTTGAGCTCTTGTTATAATAGCTTACAGCTCACTTATGATATTTATGCTTGTAAAGAAGATATATTTTTTGAGTATATTTTTGAGTTTTAACAATTACTGCATGGGAAATATACATTAGTAACATTTGAAAGCTAGAGATCTTATGGAGCAGATCAAAATAATGAAACTGATTTAATTTTTGAATGATCCATTAGTAACAGTAATGAATGAAAATACCTAATAACCACACTTCGTATATATTCAATAAAATTGATTTATTCATAACTACAGATTGTTTAAAAGGAAGTATTTAATGGAAATCACGAAAATCGGGAAACTGTTTTTGGAGGAAATCACTTTGTATATTTCACGTGTGTGTTTACTAATCATCTGGTCTTTTATAAATTCCAATTGTATTGTAATAGACGAGAATACAGGCGTGGACAACAAATTGTGTTTTAATAAATTACATAATATTTTGGTAAAATCTGGGAACCATACAGTGAATACTTCATTTGCAAAATGTCAATCAATTGTCTTAGACTTGAGTGTTAATTTGTTTCCACATCAATCAATCTCTGTTCTCGTTCTCTTCTCTTCGATCTTCTTAACCTTCTGACGCCAAGTATTTCCCTCTCGATTAGCAACACATACTACTTATATCTGTCGACATCAGTAACATGTTGGGGAAGTTAGATCCCTAGAACTCACTTGGGAAAGGACCTAATTTTGTTATTTTATTTAGAAAATTTGAATTTCTTTGTTTTCGCATCAAAGGCGCTCTTGTCACCTTCATGTCGTATTCCCCACTGGGAAATATTGTAAATGCTATTGGTCCGTTGCGTCAGTATGCTATTTGGTAACTCTTCCCAGGGACGGTTTTGCACTGTATATATACGTTTTGAATTATGTTTGTTGTTATCGCTCGTTTCTGGCTGTTTTGTAGAATATACTTCTCATTACAAGCTTGGACTTTTCACTCTAGTTAGCGGGGCTGGGACGCATCAATAGCTAGCTTACTGGTCTTTGGTCACCGAGTCTTGTTCTCGTTCGCCGATCAAGTGAGCTCGTGATAGCTTCGAATCTAGCTTAACACATACCACAGTATGTCTTCATTTGAATTATTATATATTTCAGTAACTTTTATCACCCATAAAACACAGTTAAAACTAGCTGTAGAAGTTAATATTCGGATTTATATTATAAATGTCCAATTTCAGATATTCAACATCTTTGTTTGTTGACTCACTATTATTTGCGTGTGCAAAATTTACAACGTAAATTTGTATTTTGTGTGTAAATATGAACATATTCAGACTTTAAACTACAAGTTTCTTACCTTATACTGTTGAATACTTAATTATAGTTCACTTTTCAACGAAGACTTACATAGATGATTAGGTAGAGATTGATTCATTTTGAAGATAATATTTACTAATCCATAATGACTGATATCGAAAATGTAAAATTGGTAACTAAATACTCAACGATCTGAAAACACAGATTAAGCTCTAAAAAGTGAAGATTATGAGCTTATCCCGTATACAATTGTAGGTGTATACTAGTAAGGACTTGAAAATCAGGATGAAATAATTGTTAGATGTTTGAAGATAGTTGACAGGAAACCTTGCAGTTATGTTCCGTATTTATTGGGAATCTTAATCAAGATATGCTTACAATTTTGAGGGAACATACACTCCATATATAGTTCAATGTTGAGTCATATAGATAGGTAATCACATAACTGATTCAGTCAGTAATAAAGGATTAAACAGAAACACGAAAATAGTCACTACTCACTGATTGAAAACATTAAAGTTGTGTAGGAGCTCATTGTAGTCCAAATAGCGTAAAATGAACTACCTGCCTGATGTATGACCGAATTATAATGTACATTTAATTGATATCAATTTAGTTTGAATATTATCTTGAAAGGTTAATTTCATGAAGAATCGTCAACTTATTATTTACTTGGTTTAATGTTTAGGAGTTTGTGTCTTAATTTTTCACTACCTTAATTAAACAAAATAGGTTTCATTTCAAACTGGATTATAGTGTACAGATAAATATGTCACATGACCATAGTAGTGGTAAACAGTAATTTTATTCAAGTACTATTTGTAAATAATCTGTCTGGTTAGTTATTATTATTACAATTAGGATAAATCATTGATTAAATTGTTACTATGCAGTAATATAATTTACATAGAATACTTTTTTTCAGATTACATATAATCTTAATTAATTAAGAAATTCTATTAGTCACAAGTTAATCATATTGTCATTAAGTTAACTGACTTAATATTGAAATTTGTAGTATCTGATTTGAAAGGTATGACCAAATCAAAGAATATTCTGAAAATGACTTTCATATATATTCGCATTTACCCCCAAATGCCCTGGTACGGCTGAGGGTGAGGAGAGTCAGCTCTCCCTCTCGAAATTCTCTCACATAGCCACGTGCATACAACCACTGTTAGGGAAGTCCTACTCATTGTCTTCTTGTGGCATTACTGTTGTTTACGAAATTGAGAGGACGAAAAGCGAATGTCCGGTGTCTTAACCGGGTTGGTGGATATGAAGAATCCACCTAGAAGAGTTGGTAAATCCTGATTCCAAACCAATGGTGCACATGGGCTCCAAGATCCTGAAGGAACAAATGGCGTATGAGCCAATTATTGGTCACCAACTACCATGGAACTGCATCCCCACTGACTTGTGGATGTGAACTTTAGGTCGAAGGCTCCGAGCGTGACCCCCTAAGGAAACCACCTGTTTCAGTCTATGCACCCGGACAGTATCACAGCCCACACACAAATCAAGTGAATTTTGTGGCGCATATGTATTTGTTGCCTCTTTGTTTGTACCAATATTTATGTGATCAAATAAATAAACTCATCATACAGAAATGAATCCATGGATTTCTAAATATGACCAGTTTAAATGGCAAAACAAACAAACAAACCAATATTATGATTAACTAACCCATGAATTTGTTCTTCTTCTTCAATTAATTTTTGTTCATTAAAATCATTTGATAAACCCATAAAAAATAATACACCAATTTTACGATTATTAACACGACTTAATGATCCCCATGTTCCACGAATTAAATCACGTTTTTGACGATGATTTGGATGTGTATGTACAATAATTAAAATCCATAAATTTGTTTGTTTATTACAAAAATTTGATTGACTAAATATAAATTTACTATTTTCAATAAATATTGGTATTGATTCATTAGTTTTAGCGCATAAATTAAATACATTTTTTATATCATGAAAATTTAAATTTTGAATATGTAATTTTAATTGATTTCTAATTGTTATTGGCCATTTTGATAAAATTTTGAATAAATCTTTTTTTGTTTTAATAAATTCATTTTTTGGTTTCATTTTTAAAATTGATTTCATTGAAACATGATTTATGAAAGTGATCATAATAATAGTAATAATAATGATAATGAATGAATGAAATATATTTAAATGAGACATTATTATGGTGTAATTAATTAATTTACAAAGTGTACTGTTATAGTTTTGTGCATTATTGATTTTTCGTTGGTATGGTTATTGCAAACATATTGAAATCATAACACTACTATAAGTATCAAAGTTCAATTTATCATCTAAGTGATCACATACATTTTAGTTCATTATATGTATAGGTATTGATAACCCTATAGTTTAGTAATGAGAATATTATATATTTTTAGTTGAATAATATATAAAGTAAGAAAAGAGTATAAGAATACTACCCCTAACTCAGGATCTGAAAAGTCAGAAAAATGAAAATTTTGCAAATGCGATAAAAATGATCTTGGTGGTCTAGTTATAGTATTCCGGTAGAAGACAGTGGGGTTCAAGTGTTATTTAAGCCCTAACACTTCAGGCTGGGCTATTTCGCTTACTACCCTATACATGTGTTGTATGCAGTGTAAGCTATATGGCTATGCAGAGTTGAAGGTCTCAGATGGGGCTGGAGGTTCGCCATTAGTACTGTAGACGTTTCGGCATTGCTTTGGCAAGTTTTACTGACTGTTCATGCAAAAAATTGGTTTGCTGGTTAACCAATTTCATTTATACTCGTGGTTGCTTTTTCAGTGTTCCCGAGAGCCATTGTCATTGAGACATTGTAAGGCATGTCGCCACTGCTAACATTAACGAGTTTGACTGTCGTGTAAGCGGAATAGGTCAACTTTGGCCTGTTCGTGCTGTACATAATTGATTCACGCGATCATTGATCGGAATAACTATACATGTGATGTGAATGTGTTTATGAATGATGCGAATGGTCCACCAGGGTGCTTGGTATCTGTGTGGTTGCGCCACAGGATTGAGCTGTACTATTCAGATTGTAGCGTTAAAGCCTATACGGTATCTGGTTCCCCTGCTAAACGGGGTTGAGCTGTACTGTTTGGGTTGACGCGTGAAAGTCCGGATGGTGTCTGGTTCTCTTGAAAACCAATGTAAAATTACCCTGGCCCATAAGGGTATAATATATAACTGTGAAGAAAAGGGTACATAAACAAGCTTTCATAAAAACTTCGTGTTTACAAAATTCAATTATCAATATCTACGATCTTTTGATGAAGATGGTATTTAGAAAAGTAAGAAAAGAACATTGTAACTCAAACTAATGATTAAGTAGATATATCACAAAATCGATTAGTGAAATAATCGATATAATGAATGGAACTCTTCATACTCTTGATTTGTTTAATTCACAGATTCATTTTTTTGGGGGGGGGGTTTGTGTATGCTCACTACATAGGAAAACTATTATGCAGTAATGTATTTGATTCGGTGAATTATGATTTAAATTAGACAGTCAAAAATTATTCCGTTATGCTTATGGTACTTATTTGATTGCATAGTGACATGTAATATTATAGTGAACGAGAACATAAGTGGGGATAGTCGAATGTATTTCAAATGTATTGCACAAAATTACAGAATCACTTAGTAAAATCTGAGAACTATACAGTAAGTTCTTCATTTGCAAAATATCAATCATTTGTCTTAAAATTGATTGTACATTTTTCAAACATCAGTCAATCGTCTCAGACTTCATTGTTCCTGCATTTTCATACTAATTGTTTTGTTTCCCAGTTCTTTCCTCCTCGACTTTCTGCTGCCGGATATTCTAATACTGACTATCGTTATATACTACTCATATCGATATAAATAGCACAAACCACAATATTCCATTAAAAACTGTAATATTGATTTTGTTTATTTCAGAGTCTAGGTTAAACAGTTTTGTAGGATTTAATCATCACTTTTATTCTTCAAAAGTTCACTTAAATAGTCTCCATCACTTATATCAGAGACTCATGTCAATTAGTAAACTGATAATGACTATTCTGATAAGGCCATGGTGGGTAAGTTGGTACTTCCACACTTTAATATAATTATCATTTTTTACTATTCAGATGGTAGATACTTCTAGTGAAATTGAATTTCCTAAGTTGACTGGTTTCCTAATCCTACGTTTACGTAATTTGAAGAATTATAGGACTCATAGATGACATTTGCTAGAGTATTGAACAGATAGAATTTACCCAGAAATAATTGAAATATTCGGAAGAATAAAGAAATATACCAATAAAGTAAAGAGTTATAATGATAAGCATCTTCATATTTGTAGTACACATTTCTGGTCGAGTACTGATTATTAAGTTACCATGTTATCACCAGCCTAAGTGACTGAATTATTAAGTGGTCAGAGGTAATAAATCTGCATCGACGCTGATGATGGGGAGTAAAGTTGTAGTGTGAGCCGACCACTTTATTTGTCTTTGAAATTCCATCAGCTATGGTGGTTTGGTTTCGGATGAAATTTCAGCATGAATTCAGAAAACCCGGTTGGCTTTCACCAACTTACATCACTTACATGTCTGTTTTCTAACGAAGAAACAAGTAAACTGTCTAGCAGTTTTGTCTTTTTAATTTATCAGTGCGAGACATAACGTTTAAGATCGGAAGACATTCTTGAGTAACTAGTATTTGATTACAGGTGACATCAGAGCATTGCTCGCGTATATTGAAATCACCAAGGAAGTTAGATGCAAGGAATTAGATGAAGACGATAAACTAACTAATTAGGTAGTGCATATTTATCGACTGAAATGTTCGGGATATCTGTTATGTATGACTGACCTCGATGGACGATGTTGAATGGTGTAAGTGTAGGTTGGACGAAAGCTAGGAGTGTCCAAATCAAGAGGTAACATCAGTTCATGAATCCACTCACTGTTGTACGGAACAGGGTTTGTAGATGCAAACTACGTGGTTAGACATGTTAAGTAACATGACTCAAAATCGTTTTCAGCAGCGTAAGTGTTTTTACTTCTTGTCTATCTTTTGTTCCTAAATTTGTAAATTATCTCAGTAGTCTTGTTTATCCCACAAATCCACATTTTCCTCTCGTATTGTGCCTTCATTGGATAATATTTTCTACTATCACTAATACTGTTACTATTTATAATAATTTGGAATCCCCTTATGCTGATGTAATATGTCAACTTGAACCGATTCACTGTCTTAGGTTCTACATTGAGCATAACTGATAACTGACTGACAAGTATTCGGCCAGAACACTTGAACAAACATTTCATACTAATTGACCGTTATCAACCAGACTTATCTTCAAGTTTACATAAACTATAATTGGAATGAATTATTATAAAAAATTTGTTATTTTAGAAAGCATACATTACAAGACTAGACAATGATTATACTAAATAAATAAAAGATTATTTGGTAAACTTATTGACTAGTATAATCAACACATCAGACGATATCCGTTTTCCAATGAAATATTCTGTAGATTGATTTTAGTGTTTAATTATGTAGGTTTAAAATTGAACTCACTGAAATCCATCTATTATTGTATTAGGTTGTAGATAGTTATGTAATTTGTTTGTAATTAGTTTCATTGAATGATTGTTACTTTACTGATTATTTCATAGTTGATAAGTTAATTAGTAATATCATATTAGCATTACTTGATTTTTTCATTATGATTAGTTATGTCTAAAGTAGAAGTACTAAAACTAAAGCTTCAAGGCTATATATGACCTGATGTCAGATGTCATATAAAGTTAGTGACCATTTAGAGATATGTAAATAAACTTTTAAAAGTGACTTACTTACTTCCTTATGCCTGTTACTCCTCGTGAAGGAGCATAGGCCACTCACCAGCATTCTTCATCCAACCCTGTCCTGATCAATCCTTTCCAGCTACTTCCAGTTGTTTTTCATCCTTTTCATATCTTCTATTTCCCGACGTGATGTGTTCTTTGGCCTTCCTCTTTTCCGCTTCCCTTCAGGATTCGAAGTCAGGGCTTGTCTCGTGATGCAGTTTGACGATTTGCTTAGTGTATGTCCTATCCATTTCCATCGTCTTTTCCTAATTTCTTCTTCAGCTGGAAGCTGGTTTGTTCTCTCCCACAGAAGGCTGTTGCTGATGGTATCCGGCCAATGGATGTTGAGTACCTTGTGTAGACAACCATTTATAAATACTTGTACCTTCTTGATGGTAGTTGTTGTAGTTCTCCAGGTTTCAGCTCCATACAGTAGAACTACCTTGACGTTCGCACTGAAAGTGAGACAATTTAAAATTATTGAAGGGAGATATGGTACTTTAGTAATAAAACTGTTATGAATGTTTTTCATAAGTAATGACAATGAGTCCGGTAACACAGTTTTTTGACAATACTAATGATTGATAGATCACGTAATTTTCTCTCTTCCCTAAATCTACTAATCAGGTTAACAGAAAGCCACTTAATTACCTTGTGTTATTTATGATGGTATTATATGCAGAAAGATATGATTATGATGCACCATAAATAATGGATATGATGAAATCATAATTACGATGGATATGGTACATCTTAATAACAGGTTTATAGTTAAATAACAGCAATATGTGTAGGGCTAGTGCGTTAAACAAAAACTTCGAAAATTATTTTTTGAAGTCAAGTTCCTTTTGCTATCAAACCAGGTAAGGAAAATTAACAAGCATTTTCATGTATGAACATCAGTATGTCGAAAAGTAGATCTCAACTGACGGATACAAAATCGAAAGTTAGTTTGAAAAATTACAAAATCAAAATGATTCTTAATTACTACACATATATTTCCACCTATTTTATTGATAAAATAACCTTCCTGACATTAATCAATACTTAACTAATTATCAGTATAGGTTTTCTTAGGGGGCCACATCCCCTAAGAAAAACCACCTGCTTCGGTCTGGGCACCCGGGCAGTATCACAGCCCACACACACAAATATGGTGTGGGGCATATATTTTTGGTGCCCTCTTGTACCGATGTTTATGTGTTGAAATAATAATAATAATAATCAGTATAGGGGTTGCGGAGATTATTAAGTTTTTGATTGAGATTATGAACCGATTGATGTTAGACCACCGTTGGAAACCTGGGAGCACTGGACGGTCGTTTCGCCCTACTTTAGGACTCCTCAACAGTGCGCAT